AGTGTTGATGTTCCTCTGAACTCTCCACTGCATTTTCTTTCCCTTTTTCTTCCAGTGGAGTATGGGAGTCCTTAGCACTTTCCAGGTCTAAGCCACTGGAGTGATGGTTCATGGAGTATCCTCCTAAATGTGATAGTGATACAAAATGCAAAGAATAATGAATCCATTCAGTTGAGAGTAGAGCACTGGTGTTCTGCTATTGTAGATGATGACATTTTCTCCAATCTAATGTTCTATCTCTGAATGGGTCTGTTCGAGGGGATGTTGTACCTTTGGAGTGAGCTGGGTTTTGGATTCAGAGCAGGACCAATCAACATAAGTCCTCACACATGTATTACTTGTGTCTCTGGTCCTTCATTTAATTGGCCTCCTGTTCATTGCTAACGTGTTGTGGGTCACAATGGATGATCATGTGGGTTGCTACAGTTCTTCCTCTTATATATACCTTTCCATATACCGAGGATGACACTTTGCTGGGATGGTTCCTGTCTGAGTGGTTTTCAGTGGGATGTCGCACAATACAAGGACATCTTGATTATTTCAATCATCTAGATGTCGAGTTCCCGGACCGGTAATTTATTATCACTCTTCTCACATGTACCCTGTTCATAGGTTGGTGGGCATGATATCTCCCTCTGGTCTCTTCAACTTGAGGGGAAGGTAGTATAATTCTCTTTCCTACCCCTACCCAATGACTGGGTTTTGGGTTGCAGTTGACTTGTTGCCGGTATGATCCTCTTTCCTACCCCCACAAAGATGTTGGTTCCTGGTGGCTGGGTTTTGGATTGTAGTTGACTTGCCAACAGTATGATCTTCTTTCCTACCCACACATGGATGTTGGTTCCTAGTGGCTGGGTTTTGGATTGTAGTTGACTTACCGATGGTATGATCCTCATTCTACTCCCGCATAGATGTCAGTTCATGGTGGCTGTATTTTGGATGCAATGCCATGTATGGTCCATCATGCCCTAGCCACTCTACTCTTTGGGGCACATCCATTTACTATCACTCACATTATTGGCTCCCAAGGAATTGAGACTCTGATATCATATTGTTTGGATTCCTATCCAAACATTGTTCTCTCCTTTTGGATGTGCTCCTCTCTTTTTCCACCCACATTTGCAACACCACTTTACACACTGGGAGTAGAATATACCTGGTACAGTTGTGGTGCAGTCTCTCATGTAGGATCCTCTACTACAAGGATCTCCACTTTTCAGGTGCTCTTTGAATGCTTTCGAAGGGTTCTTCTGTCTTTCCCTTACACCGGTCCCTCCACTTGTTCAATGTGAGATTCTAGCTATATCTGTGGAGGTAAGTTAATGTATCAGAAGTTATAATTTTCACATACTGAAAATGTATTTCCATTTATGCTTCCCACCCTTCCTCCCCACCTAAAACCGGTGCTTCCATTTTCTGCCAAAACTTGAAATGTGATAATTTGGTAAAATCAAATAGAGGGAGTCACATGTGTAAGGATGGTGTGTTGCAATCATATTGATAGAGGGTTTGTTGCATGGTGATTTACATGCAAGATGCAGTTGATCGTAGAGTACATGGAAGCTCAGGCTTGTGGCTTGCTAAAAAAAATTTGCATATAGAGGGAAGAACTGAACAAAAATAGTTATATCTGTGAGGTAAGCACCTATTGGAAATACATTTTCAATATAGGAAAATTATATCGTTTGAAACTTGCTTGAACAGTACTATATTCCAACCTTGGGAATTATTGAGAAAAAGAAACATTTAGTAATTTTATCTTTTAAACTAAAAGGAGTGGAAAACATGTAGTATAGCCCAGTACTACACTGTTAATTATAACACACTTCTAATATTAAAGATTGAGTCTCATTTCCAAAGTAAACAAAATTCTTACAAGTACTTAAGTTATAAACTCTAATTATCAAAATGTTTTTTGTTTTTTTTCTGACTTGTAGTGAGGTTATTTGCAATATAGTGTACAAGAACTTGAAGTTGTAGTGGAACAGCATTTTAGTTTTTAGTGACTTTGTAGTAGACAATTTGCAATATATATTGTAAAAACTTTTAGTAACACTGAAACCAACATTTAAAGTTTCTTCTGCTATTTATGGGTGTGAAATTATTTGTAACAGTGGGAAAATGTCAAGAATAAAACTATTGACCGATCTTTGTGGGTAGTATAATTATTTATTGTAAGAAAAGTTTTCTAAAAACTGTTCAAGTATTTAATGAGAAAACATTATTTTAATCTTATTTAATATTTCCACGATGAATCACACAGTAAACTATCTTTCCCATGCACCTGCTTTAGAGATTTGCATGCCACTAGCCTTTAGTGAACTTCTACCTAATCTCACAAGATTTCTCTTGAATTGGGCAACTGCATATTGACATCATTATGCAGCAAAAGCCCTCCATCAGTAGTAGGGTTACACAACTCCTTGCACACTAACTTCTTCTATGCATTTGCACTTGTGAATTTTCATCAGGAATGTTTTTCGTTTTCAGTTTAATGAAATTTATGAAATTTAAGGAACTTAATTTCTTTCTTTTTTTCTACAAACTATGACTCACAAGCTCATGTTACATCTTCTGCTACTTGTGTGAGTAAAAACTTTCCTCACACAGGTTATGTATCAATTGTGGTTTCTGGAGGATGAAATGATGGCCACTGTGCATAGGGTAGTGGGTTCCCTTATCCAGCCAGGACTTTAACTCCCATACCTTCTTCAGGGGAAGAATGAGGTGGACAGATTTGATCATTTGTTTCCTCCTCCTGGTTGTGCTTTGGGAACTTCTCTCCCCATTTAAGAGAACCCTCAAACTTCCTTGCATTATCAGGACTTAATATCACAAGCTTGTACTGCTTATTTTCTTTCCATTCTTTCCTTTATCAACTACATTCCCACAACTCAGGCTTCCACCTCCTCATCTGTTTGATTCTTATATCCTAGCTTACAGACATACTGAATTTTCATTTCTTGATTCCCAATGGAATCTCTCTTGCCCTTATTCTGTTCCTTCCTTTTCCATAGTCTTCATGCCCCACTCCATTGCCTGATTGGGGCCTCATTGTTGTCCTGTTCACTGTTACCCATGAACCTTTCAAGCTGTTGGCAACTTGTACCTAATGCCACCTTTTTCTCAAGATATATTTCATCTTACTTCTTGTCCATAGTTGCCATCATTCAGATATTTATGCTATCAATTATTCTTCTACCTTATCTATCACTCTTATATTCTTCTTTATCCTGGGCAGTCTTTCCTCCCTAAGACTTTGGCTGTTCAGGAAGGAGACCACTCTTTCTCTTCTATTTCTCACCATTGCAACTGATCGGACCCAGAAAGATTATTGTGCCCTTCATTGTTACTTATCTCATACCTCACACTTTCAAGGCTCCCATCACAGACTATTTCTTCTCTCGGATTCCTTTTCCTCCAGGGACATTTTCCTTCTATCCTTACAGGTTTGGTCTGGTAACTTCTATGTTTGTTTAGTCTATTTCTCATTGAGGTTGATGATCACAGACTGTTTCACATTTTATTCTATCAGAATCATCATCTAACTCATTCCCCCATCTCTCATTTCTGATGGCTACTGGACCAGTTCCTTCTGGTGGGTATATGGACTACTCCACACACCTTCATTGCCCACTATTTTCACCATCTGGCTGTCTTGTTTCCTGAGAGTTACCATCTGCCTCCATTCACCATTCTACCCATGACCTCTAGATGAGTAAGTACCTTTCCTTTTTTTTTTACAGAATTCACTTATAAGATTCCACCAGGTAGTTGGTGGAGCCTCCCAGGGTATATGTATTTCCCAAAATTTGCATTTATCCAGGGTAATGGAAAGCACTTATACCATGTTCTTCAAGACCTCTTTGAGTTATTATCATGGTACATCTATATATCTGACTAATTTCTGATCCAGACCATACATATTTCATGAACTATCATGGAAAAGCCAACACCAGGGGTTGTCTGTCCTATTCCCTGGCATATGCTTGCTGGCTTTTCATAATAAGGTCACATGATCACCCATTGCACTGTCTCCAATGCAAGACTTTTCCAGATTGAGGGACAACTGGTGCCAATGTGGTGGGAAGTGAGAAGGTGGTGAAACTGTCAGTGTAGCACAGGTCACCCCTTTATATAGCTATACCACATGCCACCTCTTCGTGCAGACATTTCTTGTTCAGTTGAGGTGAGCATGCACTAACAAGCTATGCCATCCTTCTTCAGCTGAGCCAAGGTGTGCACATATCATTCTCTGTGGCATGACTACTGTGCCCTTTTCATGTAGCTGGTGTCAGTCCAATAAATTCTGGTAGTAGAGTTGATGTGAGCACACAGTACAGTCTGAATGTGCCCCAACTATACTACACATATTGTTCTCTGACCTCTTTTTGTCCAAGTATTTGAATGTGTATGTTCTTATTCTGCCAATCCTTGCAACACATTTGGCTTGTTTACCTTTTCCTCCATTTATTCTCAGGTGAAGGGGATAATCAGGAAGAAATGAGATGTGTGAAAAGGTGTGGTATCATGTCTGAATTTAACATTTTTGGTATTTCTGATAGATACCTCTTCACACACATTTCTACCCATCCTTTCCACTTCTGGTGCAAATTCATAGTTTACCGTGCAAGGGGTGTGTTGCTCTCCTATTGGTGGAGAGGTTTTGCTGCATAATGATGTCATTATGCAATAGCTAAATTTATGAGAAATCTTGTGAGATTAGGTGGGAGTTCACTAATGTCTAGTGGCATGCAAATCTCTAAAACAGACATGAGGGGAAGATAGCTTACTGTGTGGAGAGATGAATATTTATCAGAAATATATTTTCAGGGAAGGAAAATGTTAAATTTTATATCTAGTGGGTTTCTTTGAATGAATAGTAGTGCTGGTAAACAGCCATGATTTCAAAGGTTTAACATCCTAAAATAAAAATATAAATTATGGTCTGATATCCAAAAATATTGTTGTTTCTTTAAAGTGCAACATTTTCTCTCAAGGTAATGGTATCTGATGGAAGTCAAAGATTGGTGAGCCATGAAGCCAGCCATGTTCAGAGAGCCATAAATGCACACCACAATACCACAGAACAACAGACTATACGTATGGTTGTAAGACAACCAGATGGCACTGAAACTGAACAAACAATACCTGTCTCCTCATCAGGGTCGGGTGGTCCTACCCTGGTCACCAGTGATGGCCACGAAATCCATGTCAGTGATGAAGGAACTCTGCAGATGATGGCCAACTTAGCTGATCAGGCTTCAGCTGGAGGCTCAGGAGATGGAAATAACCAAGTAAGATAATGTTGTATGGTTTATACCTAGGAATATTTCAAAAAATGGATGATGTGGGTTTTAATTTCAAAATTTTTATATTTTAAATACGTTGATGTTTTGTGAAGTGCCATGAGTTCAGGTTTATATAATTGAGGAGTAGTACATAATAGAAACAAATAACTCTTCATATGAAACAATTTTTGAAATACTGTTTGTATGTAATGCTTGACTAACTTATTTCATGAACTGCCTTAATTTACTAATACTACTATGTGTATGTAGATTGTATAAAACTAAGGCAACACATTCATGTTTTGTTTTGTTAGCTTAAAATGATTGTATTAGCTTCTGATGTGGTACACACCTCTTCACACAGAATGCTATCCTCCCTGTGTATTTGCCTTAGAGACTTGCATGTCACTGGCCTTGAGGCAACTACCGCCTAAACTCACGAGATTTCTCTTGATTTTCATTACTGTAGAGCAGGGGTCACCAAACTTTTTTCACAGCGGGCCAGATAACTGAGAGAATGACGAGCGTGGGCCGCATAACCATTTTGTTCAATAC